ATTTTTTCATGTACTTATTGATTGATTGTATGTCCTCCTCTGAGAAGTGTCTGTTCAGGTCCTTGGCCCATTTATTGATTGGGTTATTTGTTGTCTTATTGTCTAATTTTTTGAGTTCTTTGTATATTCTGGTTATTAGGGTTTTGGTGCTGAAGCCCAGCATACTGTACCACTGAGCAACATTCTGAGTCCTTTTTACTCTTATTTTTTTATTTTGAGATAGGATCTTGGTAAATTGCTGAGGTTGTCCTGGAATTTGTCATCCTCCTGCCTCAGCCTCTCATGCACTGGGATGACAGGAATGTGCTACCGCTCCTGGCAAGCTATTATTTAAATTCCAAACATTTTTTCCTGCTAGAAATTAAACATTATCATCATCATCATCATCATTATTTGAGATAATCCTCGTGTGTTTGGAGTATCTGCATAATAATGTTTTTTGTTCTCCATTCTGAGACCTTTCATCTGAGCTCATTTAATACCTGCATGAAATATATTTCTTTTAATTTCTTTTAGGGAGGCTTTTGGTGATAAACTTCCTTGGTATTTGGCCCATTCGTGTAATCCCAGTGACTCAGGAGGCTGAGGCAGGAAGATAGCAAGTTCAAAGCTAGCCTCCGCAACTTAATGAGGCTCTAAGCAACTTATTGAGACCCGTGTTTAAATTAAAAAAAACAATAAAAAGGGCTGGGGATGTGGCTCAGTGGTTAAGCGCCCCTGCATTAATCCCCAGTACTAAAAAACAAAAACAAAACAAAAAAGAATTTTATTGAGAATTCTTGTATATAATTCACCCATTTAAAGTGTACAATTCCGTGACATTTAGTGTATTCACAAAATTGTGCAAACCATCACATCAACTTTAGAACATTTCATTATCCCCAAAAGAAGCCACACCCCCCTCAACTGTCCCTCCCAGCCTCTCACAATCACTTTCTTTCTCTTCAGAATTTGCATGTTCTGTATATTTCATATAAGTGGAAATACACATGTTCCTTTGTGACTGGCTTCTTTCAATTAGCATAACAGTTTTCAGGCTCATCCACATCATAGCATGTATTGGTCCTTTGTTCCTTTTTATTTTTAATATTTTTTTAGATGTTGATGGATCTTTATTAATTTATTTAAATGGAGTGCTGACAATCGAACCCAGGGCCTCACATGTTAGGCAAGTACTTTACCACTGAGCCACAACTCCAGCCCCTCCTTTTTTATTTTTATTTATTTTATTTTGYAACAGGGCCTAACTAAGTTGCTGAGGCTTATGATCCTCCTGCCTCAGTTGCCTGAATCTCTGGGGTATAGGCTTGGGCCACCAAGACAGGCTACTTTGTTTCTTTTTATTGTCAAATACTATCCTATCATTTTGGTATATTCTCTCATGGGTGGATGGACTGTTGGTTRTTTCAAGTGGTGCTGCTCTGAACAGTCATGCTCACACCTTGATGTGGACATGCGTTTTGTTCTCTTGGGTGTACCCCTAAGTGGAATTACAGGGTCACCTAGTAGCTCTGTGCTCACCCTTTAGGAAGCTGCCAGACTGTTCTCCATAGCTGCACAGTTTTCCTACCCACAGCTGGTGTGTGAGGCTGAATGCTCCACGTGCCACCAACACTTGTTCTGTGTTATCTTTTTGATTRTTGTTAATTTAGGAGGGAAGGAAGGAGGCCGAGGCCTGTTAGTGCCTTTAGACAGAAGTGTCGCACATTCCCTGCAGGCTCTGTTGCTCTGGTAAAAGGCTTGTTCCGGCAGCTAACTCCCTAGTCAGCTAACTCACTAGACACTAAATGTCACGGTCTAGTAACGCAGGTCACTGTTGTCATCTTTGTTGGCTGTCTGTGACCTCCTGTCGGACCCTTGCTTTCTCTCTTGTCCTCCTTTAAGTCACTGYACATACAGTTGCTTGAGTCACCTTTTAATTGATTTTTTTTGGGGGGGTGTACTGGGGATTGAACTCAGGGGCACTCRACCACTGAGCCACATCCCCAGCCCTATTTTGTACTTTATTTAGAGACAGGGTCTCAYTGAGTAGTTTAGTGCTTTGAACTCACCAGCCTCCTGCCTCAGCCTCCAGAGCCGCTGAAATTACAGGCGTGCCCCTCCTTGCCCAGCTCTTGAGTCACCTTTTAGAATAATAATCCAGTGCACCCTCCCCGTCACCAGCCCTCTGGTGGGGCCTTTTGCTCTTTGATGCCATCTACTCACCTTGGCCTGTCCCCCAACTCCTGCCCACCTCTGCCACCTACCAGGATCCCTGGTGTTCGATGGAGCCTCACTTGATGTTTGTCATCGGGGAGTGGGGGCAGAGTGGCGGGGAGTGGCCTTTGTTCCTGCCGCCTATTCCTGGAGCTCCCTCGGCCTAGCTTGCGCTTGTCCCCTCGTCCCAGCTCTGATCCTTCAGCGTACCCTCACCTTCCCCAGCCAACCCTAGCTTGCTCTTTTTTTTTTTTTTTTTTTTTTTAACTGAACTGTTAATCGACCTGATCTGCTCTGGAACAGGAGCCCTTGAGATCCAGGATGGTGTCTGCCCCCTCAACTGTGCCTGTCACCTGGCACATAATGGATACTTAGTAACAATTGCTGGATTAAGGAGGGATGCCCGGCTGCGGGGGTGAGGCTCTGAGGGCCCCTCTGCTCTTGCCCTGCCTCTGAGCTCCACCTCCTCTCCTGCAGCCACCTTCTGGGTGAACCCCCAGTTCAAGATCCGGCTGGAGGAGGTGGACGACGAAGATGAYTACGGGAGTCGCGAGTCGGGCTGCAGCTTCGTGCTGGCCCTCATGCAGAAGCACCGGCGCCGGGAGCGCCGCTTCGGCCGCGACATGGAGACCATCGGCTTCGCGGTCTACGAGGTAAGTCCCGGATTGGCACTGAGCCACCGAGCCCGGTCTTCCCGCCAGGGGTCGCCCGAGGTCTCCACCCTGCCTTGTCTGCCCCCTGCCACACCATGAGGCTGGTGGCCCTAGGGGGAGCCTCCAGAAGGCACCAGCCAAACCCCTCAGCTGCAGGCAGGTCCTAAAATTCATCTAGTAAGGCAGGAGGAAGGCAAGTAAGATGGTTGTCTCCGGGAAGAGAAGGTTCTGGAATTTACCTTCATCTTCAGAGAAGGGGATGCTGCCCTCAGGAAGAAGGAGCTGGCTTGACTGACAGCTTTCGGGGCCAGACTTCCGCTCAACTTCAGAAATCAGTGGGCCATCTTGGGGTCAGGAAGCCGCACGTCTCAGAAGTGTGTGAGCAGAGCGGGTGTGGAGGACCAGGATAGGGAGGCCTGCTCAGACAGGGGCTGTGCCTGTCATTTGTGATTATACSTTCTGGAATAATCACAGTGCTCACCCTGCTTGTTGTGTTCAAGACAGGGTCAGAAACTTCCGGATCTACCCAGCTAGGGTCAAGGAAGGCCACAGACTTAGCCCATACCCAGATCCCCTGGCAACAGACAGGTGTGGGCCTCCAGTGTCCCCAGGCCTTAAGACACTGTGGTTGGCCATCCTGGCAACTATTCTGGAGGCTCTGATTCAGAGCAGAGGCCCAGCGTGTGCTAGGGACAGGATCCCTGCCTGGGCCCTCCCTCCTGAGGTCACTCTGTGTGTGCAAACAGGTCTGGATCATCGCTGGCTCCAGGCCCAGAGCCCTGTCACCAGTCTCCTCATCCCTTCCTTCCTGTTAGGAACTCAGGACCTCTGCCCAGAGTGCACCCTGTCCCCACCCCTGCACCATCCACCTCTCCCTTACCCTATCTCTCTTGCAGGTCCCTCCGGAGGTAGGTGTGGCTCCTGACTCACCTGAATCCACCTGCCCCAGAACACACCCTGCCTGACGGGCCCACACGGGCAGCATAGTGACAAACCTGCCCCTGCATAGAGCGGAGATGTGACCTGGTTTTACCTGGAAAGGGCTTCCCCTGACTGTTGAGCAGGTGGAGCAGTCACTGCTCTCCTGAGGGTCAGAGCAGGTGGGGGGAGGGCTGGATCTCAACCCTAGTCCTCRGAGCCCCGGTGGGTCTTGTGCGTGTGAGGCTTCAGGTCCTGATGTTCKCACCAAGTCTGCACTGGCCGGCCAGTCTGGGAGCAGGGCGTGGGCTAGGCTGGGCTGCGTGGTCTGTCCCTTGAGCAAATTGTTGAAGTTCTGAGCCTTGGTGTTTGTGTCTGTAAAATGACACTGCCTTCAGGGCCATTGTGGACACTCAGTGAGGTGCCACCTGCCAGGTGCCTGCAGAATCCAACGTGGGGAAAGCCCCCAGTGATGATAATGAGAAAGATATTCAGGTGGTGTTATAGTATTTTAATGTACCTTATTTGCATTTGGCTGCTCCTCAAGGTGACTTGTCAGGGTCACGTGGGCTATAAGTGATGAGCCAYGACCTTGTTCTTCAGCCCCTCCCTGAGGCCTGGGCTGGGATCTGGGGGGGCTCCTGAGGGTGCTGCAGCCCTGCTCCCTCTCCCTCCTGCTAGCTGGTGGGCCAGCCAGCTGTGCACTTGAAGCGCGACTTCTTCCTGGCCAACTCATCCCGGGCGCGATCGGAGCAGTTCATCAACCTGCGGGAGGTCAGCACCCGCTTCCGCCTTCCACCYGGGGAGTACGTGGTGGTGCCATCTACCTTTGAGCCCAATAAGGAGGGCGACTTCGTGCTGCGCTTCTTCTCTGAGAAGAGGGCTGGGACAGAGTGAGTCCCCCACTGCCTTCTCCCACCTTCCCCTGAAGGCCCTCCACGCCCCCTGACTGGTCCTTCTTTCTCTCCACTTTGCAGGGARCTGGACGACCAGATCCAGGCTAACCTCCCTGATGAGGTGTGTGGCCACCCCACCAGGCACCGGCTCCCTCCTTCCCTCCCCTGGGCCTGTGATGGGGATGTGGGCATCCTGTGTCCTGGGCTTCTGCTGGCTCCTCACAGGAGCCATAAGAGCGAGGCCAATCTGTCATCTCCCTAGCACTTTACGGTTTGCAAAGGATTTGTGATGATGATGGTGCATAATCCCTGTGTCCCYGTGCTGCGGCTGTGCTCGACACTTTATCTGGGTCATTTCTTCCCTGCAACACCCCTGTCTGAGTCCGTTCATGATTACCCCCTGGAAGGGAAACTCAAGTTCAGAGAGGTTGATGGACTTGCCCAGGTTGTACAGCAGGGACCTGGACTCCCACCTTTCATCGCTGAGCTGGACTGTGTCCCTGTCATTCAGGCCCCAAGATTCCTGGGCAGGGGGCAGATCCCCATTTTACAGACTAGAAGAGTGAGGCTTGCTTGGGAGGCCAGGTGACATGTGTCCCGTGAGTACTCCCACCCTAGCTGAGCAGCTGTCCCCATGGGCAGGGCTGGGGCACCCCTCACCTATTCCCTCCTTTCTCCATCCAGCAAATGCTCTCAGAAGAGGAGATCGATGAGAACTTCAAGTCCCTCTTCAGGCAGCTGGCAGGGCAGGTAGGCTGGAGTGGGGGTAGGGTGGGGGTGGGGTGGGGTGGGGGCGGGGGCAGCCCTTCTCGAGCTGGTACCACCCTCCCTCTCCCTTCAGGACCAGGAGATCAGTGTCAGAGAGCTGCAGACCATCCTCAACAGGATCATTAGCAAACGTGAGGGTCCCCAGCAGCTGCTCTCGCCCCATGCCCTGCCCCTCGTTGCCTTCAAGCATCGGAATCCAGGCCGTTGCCCCCTCAGTCAGCAGAACCCCACCCCTTGACCTATGGCTGGGGGTCCACTCCCTTTCTGAGCCCAGCTCGCCACTGTTTCCATCCTGCCAAGCCCCTTCCCCTACTTGAGCTCTGTGTGCTGGTGGGATTTGGAGGRCAGCCATGCTCCAGCCCCAAGGGGAAGGTGCCCTTTCTTCCCAAGATGCACCCCAGGCCAGGCCCAGTGGCCTGGGGAGCAGAGCACAGCTGGCTTCACCTGCTGGAGCACGCAATAGAAGGCAGTGGCTGGCTGTCCAGCCTGGCTGCAGGGGGCCTGGTGCCTCGGTCCCCGCACTTCCCTGTATCCAGAGCCCCTCTCCCTCCCACTCTTCTGCTGACCTCTGGGGCCTGCAGCAGACCACCCTGCTCTGTCTTTCTCCCCACTTTCTTTCTCTTCTGCTCATCACTCATGGGACAATCACTGGGGGCCCATGGGCTTTGGGGACACCTGCCTGACTGCTAAAACACTTTGCCCTGGTTTATCTGATGATGAAGCCACCACACCCCACTCACTCTGCTGGCCTCTGTACCCACGGGCGACACCAGTGCCTCCCTGCCTCCRAATGCCCAGTGCTCCCAGTGTGGGGCGGGCACAGGAAGCTCAGCAGGTTGAGGGGCTGGAACTGGTTTTTCTTGCAGACAAAGACCTTCGGACCAAGGGCTTCAGCCTGGAGTCGTGCCGCAGCATGGTGAACCTCATGGACGTATCCTTCAGTCCGTCTGCTGTTGTTTGGAGTCAGGGAATACGGGCACCAGAAAGTGGCTGGGTGAACTGTCCCAGGAATGCCCAGAGAATAGACAAAGCTGGGGGRTATGTGGACACCCCAGTGCCCATGTTCAAAGCCTTCCTGGGAGGGGGAGACCGAGGCCCAGTCTTGAGTCAGGTGGAAGCTGGAGCAAAGCCTGGATCCACAGCTGACCCTAAGGCCGAGCTTTTTCTGCACCCTCCCCCGCCCAGTTGAACACAGCCAGCCTGGTTATGGCTCCCCCCAGTCACCTTGCCTTCTCTTGGCCAGTCTCCCCTTCCCCCAGTGTCCCCTCCCACGCCAGCTCTAAGCAGTGGAGCTGCCTTCTTAACAAGCACCCAGCGCGACGGCAACGGGAAGCTGGGCCTGGTGGAGTTCAACATCCTGTGGAACCGCATCCGGAACTACCTGGTACGTGCCCCCGGCAGGTCCTCGCCTTCCCCTTGCAGCCTCGGTCACTGCAGGAGCAGGCCAGGGGACAGCCCTCCGCAGAGGCTCTGCCACTGCCGGCTCTTTCCCACCCCTGAGCCCACACGTCCCAGCAGCCCACCCCTTGTGGGCTCCTCCCCTCCCTGTCCCCTTCAGCAAYCCTGGGGGTGGGCAGGAAGAGCCGGGTGACTCACTGGTCCCCACCCTCTGCCCCCACCCAGTCCATCTTCCGGAAGTTTGACCTGGACAAGTCGGGCAGCATGAGYGCCTACGAGATGCGGATGGCCATCGAGTCTGCAGGTGAGGCCCAGGGCAGCCCCTACCCCTGGCCCTCCTCCCTGGGTGGTGACACAGTGCTGTGGGGATGTGGTCCCACCGTCTTTGGCCTTTCCCCCATGGTTTCTAAGTAGGTTATCAGCATATCTGTCCTTTCTTCCCACTGCAGCCAAGAAAGGACAGAGTCTCTTGTTACCCCTGTTGGGCATGTGAGGAAAGTGAGGCTCCAAAGGAAAAGTGACCGGCCTTAGGACACAGTGCCAGGGAGGGCAGAGCCAGGCTTCAGGCCTCCTGTGAGAGCTGCCTGAGGACGAGGCCAGGGCATCAGAACCACCAGACCACAGGCCCTCTTTGGCCAACTCCTGATTCTCTGGCCTGAGCTGGGCTGGGCGTGCCCCCTGAGATTGGTCCTTACTTGCCCAGCCCCTCCCAGTCCCTGGCCCTGCCCAGAGGTCCTTGTGCCCCTTGTCCCTGAGGAGAGAAGGCCCACCCTTCCCTGTTTCCTGGCTGGGCTGCGCCTCCCCGGCCCTCACCTGCTTCTCTCCACAGGCTTCAAGCTCAACAAAAAACTGTACGAGCTCATCATCACCCGGTACTCCGAGCCTGACCTGGCCGTGGACTTTGACAACTTCGTGTGCTGCCTGGTGCGACTGGAGACCATGTTCCGTGAGTGTCCCAACAGGCTCCTCCCTCCAGCTGTGTCCCAGATGCRTCCCTTGTGAGCTGGTGGGAACGGATGATGGCGGTGCGAGCAGTACCGTCGCAGGAGCTGGAGGCTGAGATCTGGGGCCCATGAGGGCCCTGTATTTGGTCACCCAGAGGCTGAGTGCGTGGAGAGCAGGGAGGGAGGGCAGGAAGAGCCCCTTCCTACTTCAAGGGGTGACAGCTTGGGGCATTAGGGGGAGAGGGGGTCAGGCAGGCTTGGCCGTGCACAAAGTTCTCAGCCCCGTGTCATCTTTTCTTGAACACACAGGGTTTTTCAAAACTCTGGACACAGATCTGGATGGAGTCGTGACCTTTGACCTGTTTAAGGTGGGACTCTCCCTGGGTCGGGGGAAGGGCCGGGGGAAGGGCCAGGGGAAGGGTGGAGGCCGTGGTTTTCTTTCCTGACTCCTGTTCTCCTGCCCCTTCCTGGGCCTTGGAGCCAGCCTYCAAGAAGGGGCAGCCCGAGTCCTGGGAGCTGGGGTGGGGGTGTCTGRATTCTGGGGCAGGAGCCGGAGGCTTGGCCTCAGTGGGACCAACAGYTCTATCTCCCAGAGATAGAGGAAGTGAGGAAACAGTTCCCCAGGAGCGAACCTCAGAAGTGGTAAAGAGATGGCTTCTGAGCCATGGGGTCGGGGCCTGGACATAGGGGTCCAGGTAAGGAGGGAAACTTGGGCAGCCCGTTCCACAGCCCTGGCCCAACGGCCTTCCCTCCTTCCGCAGTGGTTACAGCTGACCATGTTTGCATGAGGCGGGGGCCCAGCGCCCTGCTGCTCCCTTCCACCCTCGTCTGTCAAGCCKCGTCTTCCGGGCCGGGTCTTCCCACCATGCCACAGCAGGTCACGCCAGCCGCACATGCCTTCCTTGGAGCAAGAAGGCGCCTTGGTCCTCTTGCCCCCTCCTCCCAGCCTCCACTGCTCACCAGCTCTGGGCCGAGCTGTGTGGCCCTCCCTCTGTCCCCAGCCAGGGGCTCACGATGGACTCCCCTGGGCCCGCCATTTCCCATGGCCAAGCCAGGAGGGCAGCTTTCTGCTTATTCCTGCCTCAGGGCTGGGTGGCCAGGGAGCCACGATCCCAGACCCACTCCTCCAGCCCCACTCCTCCAGCAGCCTCMTGTGTCCCCTGTCTTCACTCCAGAGGCCACCCCCGGCCCCACCCGCCTGGCCTCACCTGCTGACTTTATAACCACTATCTCTGCAGCCTGCACCCCGGGTGTCAGGCATGCAGGTCCCCTTCCTGCTGGGGGAGCCCCTGGGCTGGGATCTCCTGTGCCTTCTGTGCAGAAGCCAATGCCTGCAGCCCKCGCCTCCCAGCCCTGCCCACCAGGAGCCAGCCAGCCTGGAGGGTGGTCGGGCCTTCCCTCCTCCTCCTGTCCTTTTTTTATATTGACAATTTTCAAGGGGACTCTTCAGGGACTGGGGGATTGGTTATGTGATACAGAGGCACTGGGCGTGGGATAGGGAGGTCCCATGTTTGCACACAGAGGAACCCCAAATAATAAAGGAAAAGGCCCCACATCTGTCTCTGGAGTGTGTTTCTCCCCAGTCTGCTGCTGGGAGGGCGGCAGGAAGCCTTAGCAGGGGGCCAGCTCCTGGCCTCAAGCTCACCCATTGCTGGAGTGAGTGCAGGGCGTCCGAGTGGGGTCACCTATGGCCCTGGGAGGCCAGGGAGGATGAGGCCCAGGGCCTGGCACAGGGACAGGGCTGCACTGTGAAGCCTGGAGGCCTGACCCTTGCCTTACCTTCATAAATCCACCAGGCCAGTTTCCGCTGAAACCCAAACCCATACTTAGCACAAACCTCACCCCCCAGGGAGCTGCACAGAGCCTCCTTCAGGTCCTCTGGGGTTGGGGTGGGGTCTCTCCTGTGACCCACACACCTGTAGCTTATCTAAGCTGCTCCGGCACCTCTGGGATGCTGCTGTTCTTCCCAGAGTTAAGAGTGGGGAGAGGGGACAGCCATCAACTAGCACTGACTGCAGGGTGCAGACGGAGACTGCTCCAGGGCACAGGGTGAGGGAGCAAGAAGTGGGCTGCCTCCAGCTACTGTGGGGTGGAGAGGAAGAGGAGGCATTGGCAGGTGTCACCTGCTTCTTGACTGCTCCTGGGCCAGGTCCTCCTGGATGCCTATCCTCATCACTGAGATGCGGGGGCTGCCGAGGTGGGAGGTCTCTGGGCCCACCCTGCTCAGCCCTCCGTGGTTCTCTGTGTTGGGCGTCACTTGTTATAGGGGTTGCGACACTGTGGTTCTGGGTCATCTGGGGACCTAACTTCAGAGACCCCAGGTTTGAGGCTGAGACTGCGGCTTCCTCTTGACTCCCCTATTTGGGCTTTATTTTATTTTTRGTACTGGGGATGGAACCCCAGCCCTTTTGATTCTTTGTTTTGAGACAGGGTCTCACTGAGTTGCCCAGGCTGGCCTTGAGTTTACAATCCTCCTGGTTCAGCCTCCCGAGTCTCTGGGACTCTAGGCATTCGCCACTGCACCCAGCTCTATTGGGGCATTTTTTTTAAAAAAATACTTATTTTTTAGTTGTAGTTGGACGTGATACCTTTATTTTATTTATTGATTTATGTGGTGCTGAGGATCGAACCCAGGGCCCTGCACATGCTAGGCGAGCGCTCTACCGCTGAGCCCCAGCCCCAGCCTGGACCTTCCCCAACATCAGCTGTGCACCAACTCCCTGACTCTCATGGAGTGGGGGAAGGGCGAGCAGCCATAATTACTGTCACCCCCTTATTTGTGACTCTGACAGTTCCGACCGTGGTTTGAAACACAGTGACAAGACCTTGGTCCCACGCATTTTGAGGCCAGAGTCGGGGCTGCTCAAGCCTCCTGTCGCCTCCAGAAGCGCGGGTGCAGGTGGGCAGGCGGAGGGGCAGGGCGCTGGGCCTGGTTGGGCTGTGCTGGGAGGTGGCTTTCTGGGACTCCTCACCTGTCTAACTCAGAAGGTGAGAGACGGAGGGAGGCAGGAAGGAGGGCCCGGGGCGGGGAGCCCACAGATGTGGGGACACTCAAGACTTCCAGTGAGGTGTAACCAGACTCCTCACCCCTGGCCTGGTCCTCCGCCCCCAAAGCCCCTCCCCTGTCCCTTTACATAAGGCCTGGGGCAGGCTGGGCCTCGGGTCAGGCCCGCGGCCATGGCCTTCACGGACCTGCTGGACACCCTGGGCGGGGTGGGCCGCTTCCAGCTGGTCTACACGGCCCTGCTGCTGCTGCCCTGTGGCCTGCTGGCCTGCCACAACTTCCTCCAGAACTTCACGGCCGCTGCGGTCCCCCATCACTGCCAGCTTCCCGCCAACCACACCGGGGCCACCACCAACGACTCGGGGGCCTGGCTGAGGGCCACCATACCCCTTGACCAGCACGGGGTCCCTGAGCCATGCCAGCGCTTCACAGAGCCTCAGTGGGCCCTTCTGAGCCCCAACACTTCGGTCTACGGGGTGGCCACCGAGGGCTGCAAGGACGGCTGGGTCTACGACCGCAGCGTGTTCCCGTCCACCATCGTGATGGAGGTCAGAGGGAGCCGTGGGGGGCGGGGGGCTGCTGCCTCAGGCCAGGGCTCAGTCTCCCACTCTCCTCGCAGTGGGATCTGGTGTGTGAGGCCCGCACCCTCCGTGACCTGGCTCAGTCCATCTACATGGCTGGGGTGCTGCTGGGGGCCGCCGTGTTTGGCAGCCTGGCGGACAGGTGAGCTTCTGGTGTGAGTGTCCCTTCCACCAGTGACGGTCTCTGTGTTTTTTTCTTTTTCTACCCCCCCTCCCCCGAATCAGGATTGAACCCAGGGACACTTAACCAATTAGTCATATCCCCAGCCCCTTTTAAAATATATTATTTAGAAATGGTCTCACTGAGTTGTTTAGGGTCTCCCTGCTGAGGCTGGTTTTGAACTCTTGATCCTCCTGCCTTAGCCTCCAGAATCGCTGGGTGTGTGCCATGGTGCCCTGCTATGCTAACATTTYTTTGTAAAAGTTTACTCATATTTTCAATGGATAATGCAGAAGTGCATTTACATCCTTCAAAATCCCAAAAGATACAAAAGAGCATGCAGAAAGAAAGCTTTCCCGTCTCGCCCCATCTCTCCCTCCATGGAGCAGCCCAGTTTCTACATCTCCAATTAGAGAGATCTTTATTTCTGTGTGTGTGTGTGTGTGTGTGTGTGTGTGTGTGCGTGTGTGTTGTGCTGGTGTTTAAACCCAGGGCCTCACACATGCTAGACAAGCACTCTACCACTGAGCTACAACCCCAGCCTCTATTTTCATTTCTAAATTTTTCATGAAGTTTTATAATTTGGGAGCTGGGGTTGTGGCTCAGTGAAGGAGCACTTGCCTAGAATTCATGAGGCACTGGGTTCCATTTCCAGCACCACATAAACAAAATAAAGGTCCATTGACAATAAAAAAAAAAGACATTTAAAAAAAGTTTTATGTTTTTTGATGCACACATGTACATAGCTATGGGTTACAAGGTGCTGTTCAGGGCAAGTCTATAATGTGCAATGATCAAATCAGGGTAGTCAGTGTATCTATCACCTTAGACGTTTACCACTTGTTTGTGGTGAGAGCTTTCAAAATTCCCTTTTCTGGCCATCCTTCCTCGAGACGTTTTGAGGTTTTATGCAGTCGGTCAAATCAGTATATGTGCTTGCCCCTTCCTTTTCATGCTGTGGAAGGATGGAACTCAGGCCCCAGCACATGCTGGGAGAGCCGCACCCCCAGCCTGCTCCCCCAACCCCACGCAAATGCTGGGACACTCCCCAGAGGCTCTAGCCCCCCACTTTGTCTTCACTTTGGAGGCTTCTCCATATTCCTTTGGAAAAGCGGTGCTGTCCCCTCTCACGTCCACACAGCATCCTGTGTACAAATGAACCAGAACTCACCCTCACGGAAAGACTGTGAGACAGAGCGGGGCCCTGGCTTTGAAGAAGTCCAGCTCCCTCACCTCCTCTTCCCTCCCCTGCCCCTCTTCCCTCCGTTCCGGTTGGTGGGGAGGCCCTCCCAGACTCCAGAGCTCATCCCCTCAACCCCTCATCACACCTGGTCTGTCTACATGGGAACTTGTATCCTATCTGGAGGGCCTCCTTGTCTCCAGCCCTCAGCTCAGGCCTGTGCCTTAGAGATGCTCAATGAGCAGTTGTAGAAAAAGGAAGGAAGGAAGGAAGGAAGGAGTGTACGTGTCATGGGATGGGTGTGTGGGGAAGAAACGCTGTCCACACCTTCTTGGTCTGCTGCCCTCCTGGACAAGTAGGGCTGAGCACTGTGGCCCTGGTACCTCGTATGCAATGGGGTGACATAACCCTTCCAYCCTGGCCYTGGACTCCTCCTGCCTCCTATRGCAATCAGCTCCCCTGAAGACTCCATGCTGGGTCCTGCCCCCACAGCCTGGGTCTGGCCAGGGCTCATCTCCCTTGAGTGCTGGTCAGAGGCCTCCTTCCAGCCAGAGCCACACCCAGGGACCCCCTCCCTACCCACACACCTACCTCTGGGTCTCTGCAGAACCTCTGCCTTTCCCGGGCCTGGAATAAGTCTCTTCATCTCCAATTTTCTTCCAATGGTGTCCCTCCGGTGACCCGTGCCTGGGTCCCAGCTGTTGCCCTTCCGTTTTGAGGGGTGGGTTTCACAGGCACCCCAGCTTCCCTGTGGCTGATTTCCCCTTACCAGAGTGGAAGGCCTGGGCACTGACTGTCGGGTATGCCGCTGCTGCTCCTGAAGCCTAACGCTTTGTCCATTCCCTGGGCTCAGGCTGGGCCGCAAGGTCCCCCTGGTCTGGTCATACCTGCAGCTGGCAGTGTCAGGGGCCGCCACGGCCTACATCGACTCCTTCAGCGCCTACTGCGTCTTCCGGTTCCTGATGGGCATGACCTTCTCTGGCATCATCCTCAATTCGCTCTCGCTGGGTGAGTTCAGCCGCGGAGCAGCCTGGACGGCTGGGGCTGGAGGAGAAGGGAAATGGCAGCCCCAGCTTTCTTATTGCCTTTGGCTGGAGTTCTCCTCCAGGGGCCTCAGCTCAGAACACYACCAGGTTCTAGGCCTAGGAGTCGGGGCTTGCAGACCTTGGACCTGCCCACAGCCAGGGGGGCCCTGGCAGCTTTGTCCTTGGTCTGGGGTCTCATTTCCTCCTCTGTGAACCGAGAGGGTCGGTTTATTTCATTTGTGAGTTAATCGACAATAACCTCTTACTAAGTGCCCATTGCATACCAGGCTTAGTGTGGTGACTGGGGCGACTGGGACACGGAGGGCAGTGGGACAGGATGCTCTCCAGAGCTGCAGACAGCCCTGAAATCGTGCAGCCCTTATAAGGGTGGGGTTTGCCCGGGCTGCTGGTGGCTTCTCTCAGCTGAGGCATAAGGATGGCAAGTTTGAGGGCAGCCTGGGAATCCCACCTCAAAATAAAAAATAAAAAGGGCTGGGGATGGAGCTCAGTGGTGGAGCTTTCCTGGGTTCACTTCTCAGTACTGGAAAAACAAACACTTGTGGTTTCTTGGCTCCATGGTGGGGATCTGGCTTGTTGGATGCC